ATAAAAGGACTAAATTACAAATTTCATCCTATTAGATTATGAAGGTAGCAATTTATGTCTCACTTGAGTGACATCTAGCATTTTAAGCCCTGTAATTTTAATTTTGTTGTAATTTCAATCCTTCGGCCGTCAAAATTCTCAGTTTATATATCTGGGATGGAATTTGATTAGCAATTCAAGTCTTGTAATTTAAAATTTTATTGCAATTTCAAGGGCATGCTTGTTTATAAATTATTTCACTCACATTTAATTCATACTCAAAATCTAACACAAGTTTAACTCAATCCTACTAACTTTAATATTATTCATATAATTAAATAATACAAACCAATCATTCTTACACATCACATCAACTTTAATTCACTATTCATCCACTCACATAATTTTAACTATTTATCATTTCCAATCATTTTCAATCATTTATCACCTACTTTTGCATCAAATCAATTTTAATCATTTTATTTTAAATATTATTTTAATACTTTCTTAAAATTCCACTAACAACTAACTATACCACATTTTTCAAAATTAACTCTAGTTAATCAAAATAACTCATTTTGGACGAATTATTTTGTAAACAAGCGAGCCCCAAGTCTTTTGACCATCAAAATTCCCATAACTTAAATTGTTATATGTCACTCTAGTGATACCTAAATTGTTATCTTCATAATCTAATAGGACCAAAATTGCATTTTAGCCTAATAAAAGTTGGATAGTAAAGTATAATTAGTAATAAAGATTAGGGGTATTGTTGACCTGCATATTGCACTTGACGATGTCGAGTGGGGTAACGGCGGTGTGAGTCAAACCACAGCTCAAAAGCCCACCGGCGGCGGAGGCCCAATAATACGCCGGTGAAAACATCTCGATTGATCCCTTCTCGGCTGGTGCCGGAATTACAAAGCCACGAGGGACTTGTTGATTCTGATTGTTTGATTTACTTGACCAACTACTGTATATAAAATTCGGGATTAATGGGTTTTCTGGAAAATTCATTCTTAAAAATGTTAATACGAGAAAATGAAGTAGGTAGGACAAAAGGGGGTGTCGGAAAATTTGGTTGCTCCGCGCTTTTGGGAAGTTGGTGTGTCCAAATATAAATGAAGAAAAATTGCAGAGAAAAATGTTGGTGGCTGAATGGAAATTGGTCCAAATTTGAATTCGAGTTGTCAATGGATACACGAACACGACTCTGTTTTTAAAAACTGGCCTGTTGTTTCCTTAACATTTCCTCTTTGATTTGTTCTTCTTTTTCCTTTTTATTTGCGTGCACAGAAGTTTGAAGAATACAAATCATTTTTAGTCAGATGCCGCCATACATTGTGTGCTGAGTGTTAGTTGACGAGAAAATATTACAATTTTGCTTCTTAGTTATTCCAATTCCAAATGCAAGTAGTCAAGTACCCTTGCGTTTTTCATCTGGTTGCTTATAATATTCAAGAAAGGACTGTCATTGATAAATGTGAAAAGAAAAGATTAGATAATGGGAATTACTATTTATTAAAAATAGTAAGCAAAAAATTTAGAATATTAATTACATTCTATTTTTAGAATATTTTTTTTATTTGTTTTTAATAAAAAAAACAGGCCAGATTTAATGATACCATAAATCAAAGAATTTGTTATATTTAAATTTTTGCCAATAAAATTGTGAATGGATATCAAATAATATTAGTACAAACCTAATAATTAAAATAATATTATTACACATCTGATATTTTAATTTTTAACTATTTTAAATTAATATTTTATAATTTTATATCATATTAATTTTAATAATTATAGTTTTATTTTATAGTTTTTCATCATTTGAAAATTTTTCAACAAAATAAAAATTTCTGAAATTTCTATATAGGTTTATGTATTATATTCCAATGCAAGGAATAATAATTCTTTCTAACAAAATGCTCCAAATTATGTATTTCATACTAAATGCGTTAGTATTTGCGAGATATACACAAATTCGTATAATATATTTCCGTGAAATTGGTAAAAAAATAAGAATTAATGAATGGATCGATACAAAATATGATAAAAGAGATATAATCGAAATCACTTGACATGCGATACATTACATATAGACAATGTTGATAGTAACAATATAAAACTGGTATACAAAACATATAGACAATATCTACTATGTAAATATTTTCTCATAAAGTTCAACGTGAGATATTAGATTGTAATACTTATTATTTACTCAAATAATATTTTTGATACTTTTTTTATTCAATATTCACACACATAATATTTAGATACTTTTTAGATTTTTTTTTTGCCCATTCTATACATTAAAGTTTATATCTTTAGGTGCTTTTAGACATTTTGTCTTTACAAAATAGTTTAGTGGAAGTTTAGGTGACTTAACATTTTTTTTTAAAATAATGTAGAATATTTTAGATATCTTTACATATGTTATTTTAGGTATTTTTAATACTTAAAACATACATGTTTTGTGTTATTTTGTACATGATAATTTTATATTGTACAAAAAACCGATATACGTAAATTATATCACATTTTAATCTCAAATATTTAATTTATCATTATTATTTAATGCTATTTACCTGCATCTTTAATTTATAATTATTATTATTTAATATTATTTTCTCGTGCATCGCACGGGTTACATATTAGTGTTTGTGGAATGGAAGAATAATTATGAGTTTAGCAGTTAAAATTCAATTTAATTAGCCTCACTTTCATAATCATCTCGCATAGGATACTACCAGCTTTTAGATTATTAAATTAAAAGTGTTCATCTAATTAATTCAGAGGATTAACAACACGAATCTTTTTTTTGGTTTTCTTTTTAACAGAGTTTTGTTTTTCGAAACGATAGAAATTGAATTAAAACTAAAAACCACCTAATTACAACTAGAAAATAGTTGGAATAGTCAAGCAGCCAAACAGTTGAATCTAGGAGGCCTACACGGAGGTAGCCTAGAATCAACTACACTAATGCACTCGTAGCACAACAAACTATACAGCTCCCAACAGAATAACACGCTCCCAATAGAAGAATAACACACTCCCCAATAGGAGAAAAGACAACAACACGAGCAACTAAAACACTAAACAACACGCACAAACAAAAACACAACACCCAAAACACAAACAAACACACTAAAACAATAACAAAACAAAGCACTTCCCCAGATAGACCAAAACCAACATATAGCACCAGCGGACACAGGATTGACCCCAACAAACTAGCCCATTGTCTAAGAAACCGCTTCTGAAACTACCAACAAAAGTCTAACTGAAGTCGAAACCCAAACTTAAAACCACTCCAGGAGTCGACCCGCCCCTCAGTCGGAGGAAACCCAATCTCACCTCCCCACACCACCAATGCCCCGAACCCGTCCAATACCACTGTCCGAGTCCGACGACATCGGCCTCCTCACGAACCCCACACCAGGGAAATTGAGGAATAGGAAGCGAGAGGGGTACCTCAGCCCCGGCCATTGCAGGCAGCCCGAGCCATGCCCAACCCCCTCTGTCACACCCACCCGGAACCACCACAACATCAATGACGCCAACGACCTCGTCCAGGGGCGGATTTACATTAGCATAAAGGGGGGCCATTGTCCCCTCAAACTTTTGCTTAATATATATGTATGTATATATATTCTAAGGCTTTTAAATTTTTTAATATATATATATATATATATATATATATATATTATAGATTAAAAATTTATAAAACATATTCAATTTATGCTAATTCTCATAATTATTACAAATACCTGTATCGCTTTATTTACTAATTAGTTTTAACTACATCATATTTTGTAGGTATCCTTTCAACAATGTTTTATAATATTTTGTGTTTGATCTTACATACAATTAAATAATTAAAGAGTAAATTTGAAATAGAAGAACATTCAACATATGCAAGTCAATTGTTCGAAATAGAATTGCTAGAACTATTAATACGACAGTAGGCCTTCTATTGGGGATTTAACAGTCAGACAACTACACTCTTCCAACAAATATTTTTATTCTTTCATACTTAAATGTCATATTTTACAAATATATTTATACTTTCATACTTAAATGTCATATTTTACAGTGCAGTACAAATAAAAGTATGACATTTTTCATATATCACAATGCATGTTTAGTGAAAAAATATATATGTTTAACAACTAGACAGCCTACGAGTTATAGCATTTCTGTTAATATCGAGCCAATCATCAATGAGTTTTTTGAGTGTAAAGAATGTTGAACATTTAAACTACCAAAATTAAGAAGTTATGTATTTTGTAGTGCAACTTATTAATTATTTTATTCTCTGTGTGTGAGAGAGATGTTATAAATTATATAATTGCCCTCAAAATGTTATTCGTGCTGAGTCAGGTTGAATACCTCATGTTTAAGTTTCAATCTAATCGATTTGTTTAATAAGAAAGTTTGAATAGTCGTTCTAGCTTGGCTCATTTAAATATATGAATGATATGAGATCAAACTCTCACAAGTTGAACAAACACAACCGGATTCCAATTAACTGCTTTGGCCCCTCCAAAAATTTTTTCTAGATCCGCCCCTGACCTCGTCCATTAACTGGCACCAGATCTTTGGAGAAAATCGGCCGCAGACGGTTGGCCACAACACCCAGCACAGCCGGACCAGGAAAGCGTATCCTCAGGGCCACGGTCGTGCATCCAAGGGACGACCGCGGCAAGGCCCGACTAGCCACTGAGGAAGGCTCGCGAGCAGCCAAGGAAAAGAGGGAGGTGGCGGATTGAGGAGTACAGAGGAAAATTAGGGCAAGGAAAGAGATAAGGGGCATTCGAAAATAACCTTGGACCTCTAGGTCAATATTCACTTCATTTTTAATAGAGAACTAAATTACTTATTTTTGGTGCAAAATACTGACTTATAAAAAGTTGCACACGTGATTTGTAAAAAGAACCACGAAGTTGAAATGACAATTTATTCCAGCCAGTTTTGTAGGAAAACCTTGTTCTCCACTCGTGTAATTTCTCTTATGTAGCACCCTAACATTTGCATTTGAACTCCTTTATAGTGCAATAAACTTATGACTAGTATTTACCTTAATATCTTCTACAATGTTAAAAAAAAAAAAAAAAAAAAAAAAACTGTCAAAGTTGGGTGGAAATAGTTCTTATGCCGTTTGATCAGCATCTAGCGAGTTTTGCAACTTTACTCAGCTCTTTATGGTAAAAATGGATTATAAAACAATCCCAATGACACTTGGAAATGAAGATTTGCCAGGCTTCTTACAATTGACCCAGTAATGGATTTGTTTGGCTGGTGAATGAAAGATTTAAAGCTGAAAAATGTATACCAAAACTAATTTCGAGGGATTTGAATTTCAAACTCAAAGATGGAGCCAAAGACTCACAAGGGACGATTTTTCAAATATATAACCAGTCGGTTTCTTGGCATTTTAGACCGGTTACAAACTGAAGTAGCAAGGCCGAAATATTAAGTACAAAATGGACAATGGTTCGACTAATTGTTTCGGTCCTAAAGGGAGAACCTTGCTCGAAAAGGGCCACAAAGCGATTTAACTAGAACACGGTGACGAATTTGGCTAGACAACGAATAGATAAAATTTGAAATAATTTAAGTAGATAAGGACATCTACGATATTTATTCAACTTAATAGATTAAATAAATAGGGATATTTAATTAAACTTATTAAATTTTGCAAGCTTAACCGAGCTCAACAAAACAAGCAAGCAAATAAATCCACACAACATACAATAATTAAACAAACCGACTCCTAATAATCGAACGGGGCACAACAATAAATATTACTTTTGAAAAAATCCATAACAACTTATTTGTTCATTAAGGAGGGTGTATTACTTTAGGATTTCGATTAACAATTTGAGACTTTATGAGATTTGAAACTTTTTAAGATTTTCAGACTTTGGAGGAATCCTGTGAAATCCTAAGTCTGGAGGTGAGATTTTAAGTGAAATTTTGTATAAGGTTTTTTCTTTAGAAATTACAAAAAATCTTAAAGAGTCTTAACAAATCATAACTTCAAATAGGTTAAATACCTCAGGATTTTGTACAATTTTGTAAAATACTAAATGAATACACCAATATTTTTAAAAATCTTAAAAGTCTAAATTAAATACGCCAAGATTTTTGAAGGGGTGTATTCAATTGAGATTTTTAAAGACTTT